CACTCGTGTTTATGTCCATATCGATCAGATCTAACTATTGAAAGCGATGTCAGGCGCCCAAGCTGAGATTGTATATATTTCCACATTTTAACAGTGCAATTAAAAAGTATAAATATAGTATAAGGATGTGGCAATTTGCCTTTATTGATTTCATACATTTAGTAAAAACGTGTAACGAAATTGAAAACCGAAGGCCAACGACCGAATATTCGAATTTCAGTTTTTTTCCAGGAGTAATTGGACAGGATGTTGGAAATGTGTAAAGAAAGCCTTTCAACGTAGTACATTTATTTAATTCCTGAGATTAACTTCCTCATATAATATCTTAATAATGTGAGATATCACAGTGTTGCACATTAGAATAGATATAATTTACAGACCCAAATAGGAAAATGGTTTAGTTACAGCAGCATGTGAACAAGATGTGCACATGAGTTTAAAATAGACAAACAATAAATATGTATATTTCAACAGTACGAGATGTAAATCTAAGAATATCTAAAGAATGCACAATAAAATGTATACAGAAATGGTTAAAACTCACTCTTATAGACCAATTTATTTATCTTTAAAAAAATAATTGTATTGAAGACGCATAGAAAATACATTTGGTACATTGATAGGTTAGATTGAACAGATCAAAGCTACTAGTGATCAGCTTAGTCTCTACCATTGTACATCAATTGACAAACCATACATAGATGATCTTCACTTGAAGGAGTACAATAGGCCAATTTATTTCGAAAAATATAAACAAAAAGGACGCTATATAGATTTTCAAAATTGTTGCTTTTTTCTAATATTTACGTTTCAATGCATCGAGGCAGTGAGAGTACCATATGTGAAAATTGTTAAGGGAGTGAATCAGATCCTGACGGTTGGTGTTGTTCTTCCTCGCAGCACTTGGCGGCGGTGGAGGAGAGGAAGATCAAGTCCCTGGTGGCTCTGCTGGTGGAGACGCAGATGAAGAAGCTGGAGATCAAGCTGAGGCACTTCGAGGAGCTGGAGACCATCATGGACCGCGAGAAAGAGGCTGTGAGTTTGAACAAAAGCAGCTTACATATAACAAGTGTTGAATTGGAGATTAAATGCGAATGATATCGGACAACTTTGACCCTGTGCTGCTGCTCAAGCATTAACATTTCACCACTACACACTTAGTTAGGGCTCTCAGCTACGGTTATTAATAATGAAGGAGATCTGTTAAAGAGGCAGTAGGCTCAAGTAGCACCTCTCACTAAAGTGTAAGTGTGAAATTTGATATGTTGGGGCTTAATCCAACGACATTTAACCTTAAAGAGGCTCTATTATGCTTGTTGGGCTTATCTCTATCCTGAGATATCCTGTTGTAATGGTTTCTGTGTATGTAAATGGTTTGCAAAGTCTAACATCCCTCTGGAGATTAGCATCATATGTCCCCTTTTAACCTGTTCAACCCGGAGGCCCCCTTAACATTTAAAAACCTATTAATGTGTCATACCCGCTTAACGGGAAGAAACTCAGCTAACTGACGATACGAACCATTTTTACCGAAACAAAACACAAGTCTCACAAGAAGCCTCTAAATTAGCCCTGAGCGGAAAAATGCTAACGCACTTAGCACAGAACTCTAGGTATAAATACCCTTATTACATATCGGATCTGCACAAACAAGATATCGATTATCAAGCTGAGTTCCACAGATTCTAGGGGTATAAGTATCATCACTGAGCGATCAGAACTCGCGAAACAAACGCAGACATCACAACACGGAGCTTTACGGAGCAAAAACGGGACATTGTCTTACCTATGCTGTTGTTCTGGTCAAAAGTTGTATTCAATGGCATTAAAACGCTGCTGAAAGTTAATCCATAGGTTAATCCAATGTGTCTGAAATTATTACTGACAATCCATCATCATATTTATGTCAATAACGGAGTTTTCATATATAGTTGCTATGAGAGCTACTGGCTCAGGGCTTAACAGGTTAATTAAACCACAGATTTCTGTTACTATCCAAAACCGACCTTCTGTCACCCAGTTGCAAGCAGAAGGTAAACATTTGGAGTTCATTGGTAAATGTTGGCTACTGAACAAGTGGCTTTTTTAAATGAGTCTAAATCTTCCTCAGTAATTCAAGAGGAGACACCGAATGGCTTCTATTGTGAAGGATGTGAATCGAGAACAAACATTTTCCAGAGCACAGCTACTGTTTATAGACAGGCAGCTGAAACTGTTGCCTACCTCTTCAGCGTGAATAAATAGCCCTCAGCTGTGTGTGTGTGTCCGTCCTGCCAGTGGACACTCCCTGGAGACGCCAGTGAGAGTGTAAAACTGTGTTTTCATCGTGGAGGAGGCATTGGGAGTGCAGCCCAGTTTCACAGCTGTAAATAGTGCATGAAAAGGACTCTGGTTCACATAAGCTTTCCAAAGACTAGAGAGAAATCAAACCTCTGCTGCTGCCATGCTGTAAAACACGGGGTCAGAACGGAATAGAAAAAGGACACAGGACGGTGTTACACTGAGTCTTCACATGCACCAGTTCCTCCGACGCCACTGAAGTGTGCAAAGGTGCAGGATACTGTCGTTGAGCTTTATATAACCGATAGAAGCTGACACAACACTTTTGTTTTTATATGTCCGCTTTCTAAGATTATTGAACATGACAGAAGGTCAGGGAAACCTTTCAGACTTTCTTTTACGTTCTGTAATGGAGGGAACTTTTGGGTTTTAGCCTTTGCAGACCATTAAAATACAAAAAAAGCTGCTTTGTTTGGCTAAGGAAACCCAGTAGGGGTGTAACGGTTCACAAACATCTCGGTTCGGTACGTACCTCGGTTTTTAGGTCACGGTTCTGTACAGCAGAAAAAATGATCACAAAACTTAAAATAAATATATATTTTTTATTATTATTAAACTGTAAATATTCACTCAAATAAATACACAATAAAATAAACATTAAGGTGCAGCATTTCAATGAACTGAAATAATCTGTATTTGATCTGTACTGTACTAGTACCTAAGCACCCAGTTTGACATTAGGACTTGCTTGTCATTGTGTTTTCATGTTTTTTTAAAGAAAGATGAACTTGTCCACATTGCTTGCCGAAAGGGCAGATCTGCTGGCACTAACAATGTCTCCTGCTGTGGAGAACACCCTCTCTAGGGACAGAGGTAGCAGATACAGCCAGGTAGCGCTTTGCTAACATGGCAACATGAGGATATTTGGTGTTTGTAATAGCTTTGGCTCGGTCTGAACTTATGGCTAGTGGTGGAGGCTTAAATGCTAGCGGGAGTTGGGTTTGCACTTCAGTCTTTTTTCTTTTTGTATTTTTCTTGATGTATTGCCAGCCGCGTAACCAATTTTAGTTGAGTTGCCGGCAAACGGCTTTGGTTCGGTCCACCTGTATTTGTCCGTCATCCTTGTACGTAACTGTGAAACCAAAATGTTCCCAAACCGGAGACTTCAATGATGCTGAGAGGATTTTCGAGCTCAACTTTATCTGCGTTCACCATTTTGACAGTTCCTCAAATGACTGACTAAATTTGAACGCACCTGAGATTACTTCCAAAAAGTTTTTCACGTTCTCAATTTTTTACGCTAAACGTTATATTCGTTCGGTACACGAAGGCCCATACCCAATATTTTCCATACGTAAACCGTTCCACCCCTAAACCCCAGTGATCCTCTCATGGATTCTGTCGGGTCAACACCCATTCCCCTCTACACATCTTTAACATGTATCTTTAATTGCGTTCTTTATCAATGCTGTACATTTATCATGTTTCTTATTCTGTGCACATGACATCTATTCCATGTCTATCCATCTGAACCCTCCTCAGTTTCTTTTGCTGAGGTTTTCATCAATTTCTTACTTAAATGTTGTTATTCCTAATCTGAGTCGAGGGTCCAATCACAGATGGTGTTATACTCTACAGATGGTAAAGCCCCTTGAGGCAAATATGTAATTTGTGAATTTAGGCTACATAAATACACTTGACTTCGCTCCCCAGCAAACGTTAGAGCAGAATGTTATTCTTGGTGTTGGTAAGAAATAAAGCTCTTAATTGAGTCATCTTTCTCAACGTTTCCTCCTCTCTCTCCTCACAGTTGGAGCTCCAGCGACAGCAGCTGCTCACCGAGCGCCAGGCCTTCCACATGGAGCAGCTCAAATACGCCGAGATGAAGGCGAGGCAGCAGATGGAGCAGCAGCAGGCGGCCGCGGCTGCTGCTGCTGCTGCCCAGGCTCAAGGGCAGGGGCAGGCTCCTGGATCTGGACCCCCTCCATCAGGCATGCACCCCGGAGGGCCCCTGCCTCACCACGGGTCACCGATGACCCACCATGGAGTGGCTCCTCCTGGGGCTGTCATGCACTCCGGCTACCCCTCCATGGGACACCACCAAATGGGCCCCCACCACCCGGGACAGACAGGTGAGAGACAGACGGAGCAGGGGGCCACTGTTCCTGCTTTTAGAGAGTTTTATCAGAATCAGGTTTATCACCAAGTAGGTCGACACGTACGAGGAATTTGACTTGGTGTCATGGTGACTACATAAAAGTAAAACAAAAATTAAAAACACAGACAGAGAATTTGAAAAATAATCAAAAATATAGTAAAATATAATAGTGTTAACATATAAATGGAATAAAAATCGACAGTAATCAAAAAGAAAACGGGTGTTGTTGTACATTGGGTAATCTGAGTGATAGGGAAGTTAGAGTGAACTATTTCAGCTTGTTTTATTTAGTTCTCTTAGCTTTTTAATAATAGTTTTTAACATATATTTAAATTGTTTCTTAATGTGTCGTCAGTTTCATTCAGTTCAATATGGCATTTGATTAAAAGCAGGACATATGGATTTTAATCTGAGTGCTAGGGAAGTTACAGTGAACTATATCCATTTTAGCTTGCTTTTATATTATTCTTTTGGCTTTTTAATTATAGTTTTTAACATGTATTTAAATGTCCTTTTATGTGTTTCTTAATGTGTTGTCAGATCAAAAAGACATTCAGTTTAATATGAAAAAACATTTAAAAACAACAGAGTTGAAGTGCTGTACATCAATAAATATATAAAAAGCAGCAGAAATACATTTAGACAAAACCGATAGGACAAAAATAAACTAAGGTAAAAACACGAGACAATAAAAACCATACTTCCAGCCACAAACTGAAAAGGCCAAAAACCTTTCTGCCATTGTTTCTTAATGTTTGAAAAGATCTTTTGAATCTCAGTTACACAAAAATCGGAGCACTCTGGGTTTCCCCCCTCTATCATTCAGTCTAAAATACTTGCATTAAAACAGAAAGTATATATCAAATATATATGTTGGGGCTTAATCCAATTACATGTAACCTTCGAGAGGCTCCTTTTGGGGTTATCTCTTCCCTGTAGTGGGTTATATAGGTTTCTGTTCATGTAAATCAGGGGTTTCAAACTACATTTCATCTCGGGCCACATTAGCATCATGGTTGCACACTCAAAGGGCCAGTTTTATATATAAGACTATATAAAAATACATATATAAATATTGAATATATATAAATTAATGTATTATATTACATTATTGCCTCTGCATTGGATGATTATCGGATAGGGTATAACTTCATAATTAACTACGTCTGAAAGCAGAAGTCTAGGGCCAATGATTGCAAGTCTCTTAAATGAGAATGTCACAAAATGATTTAAAAAGTGAAAGAAAAAAAAAATAAGTGATATTTTTGAAAAACGTCAGATTCTGAGGAAAAAGGCACATTTGAGATGCATTGTGGGACATGTAGTTTATGGGCAACGTGTTTCTGTAAATCGGCATGTAACCGTATAATCAGAATCAGAATACCTTTGTCAGTCCCACAGAGGGGAAATTAGAGCGTTAGAGCAGGAAAGAGCCACAGACAGCTTAGTGTTGCATATCTTACATGCGTTAAAAAAGTACTAAGTTATAATATAATAAACAATATGCTGATAAAAAGATACATAATTTTCAAAAATACAGATAAAAAAACAAATCAAATCTACAAATCAAATCCTGTAGCAGTTCTTAGGATTTAGCAGCCCGGTATATATTACAGTTATTAAAGATAAAACATAATATATTCTTTGCAAGCTCTTGCGGGGCCGCAGAAAAGGAAGCCACGGGCCGGATTTGGCCCCCGGGCCTTGAGTTTGACACCCCTGGGTTAAATGGCCTCTAAAGCCTAAAATCTCTGTGAAAATGAGCAATCGGAGCACTCTGGATTCTCCCCTCTATCACTCACTCTAAAATACTACATTCAAACAGAAAGAGGATTTATTTGTGACCAGTAAAGAAAGGAGAAACAACGAAACCCTTTGTTGTTCCTCACCTCTGCCTAAAGGGGATTTCAAAAAGGAACTTCTCCACATGTCTGAATCGTCACCTCTATATGTTCAGGACCGATGGGCCCCGGCCAGCCGATCCCGGGCCGTATGATGCCCGGCCCGCCCTCTGCCGGCCCCCCCCCCCCGGCGGCATGCCTCCCATGATGCCCCCACGCCACCCTGGAGCTCCCAACGGCATGTGTGAGTGCAAATCCCCCTCTTTCACACTTTGTTTGTGCAGTCTGCATGTTTACATATATCAGCATGTATGTTTGTGTACGTCAGATTTAGATGATTTGCTTTGAGATGTTGTTTTTTCCCATTTAATTCACCCAAAACAGAATCATTTAAAAATCACGGGTCTATATAAAACCCACCACAAACAGCTTCGGAAAAAATAAGAAGGCTTCTGGGAATCTAAACACTATGGTGACACAAACACTGACAGCTGGTATTTACTTTCAGCTGCAGCTAAGCGTTTGTGTCATTGCTGGAAAAATCATCCCACCTCACAACGGGACTGTAGTTCTCAACCTTAAGTGTGCAATCAGGCAGCAGCATGAGGACAATGAAACAACAAATTATCTGTTTCCCATTGATTTGATCTTTTAATGTTACATTTTCAACCTGTACTGAAGTCCTGCTTTAAAGGTCACCTATTAGGCAAAATCCACTTCTTCATGTCTCTTCTACATCAACATGTGTCCCCTCTTCTTCATGTCTCTTCTACATCAACATGTGTCCCCTCTTCTTCATGTCTCTTCTACATCAACATGTGTCCCCTCTTCTTCATGTCTCTTCTACATCAACATGTGTCCCCTCTTCTTCATGTCTCTTCTACATCAACATGTGTCCCCTCTTCCTCATGTCTCCTCTACATCAACATGTGTCCCCTCTTCTTCATGTCTCTTCTACATCAACATGTGTCCCCTCTTCTTCATGTCTCTCCTACATCAACATGTGTCCCCTCTTCTTCATGTCTCTTCTACATCAACATGTGTCCCCTCTTCTTCATGTCTCTTCTACATCAACATGTGTCCCCTCTTCTCCATGTCTCTTCTACATCAACATGTGTCCCCTCTTCTTCATGTCTCTTCTACATCAACATGTGTCCCCTCTTCTTCATGTCTCTTCTACATCAACATGTGTCCCCTCTTCTCCATGTCTCTTCTACATCAACATGTGTCCCCTCTTCTTCATGTCTCTTCTACATTGAACATGTGTCCCCTCTTCTTCATGTCTCTTC